TGCTGCAGCTACACGCAGGCATTTATCTTCCCTTCCCCACACCACCAAGTTAAAACAATTTTATAATAGCATTTTCTTTATACGAATCCTGAACAAAGTTTTTATAAAATTTAAAAGATCTTCCATGAAACACATGTAAACTAGACAAGCCCTTTTAACATAAAATAATCTCATATCAACTGTAGTTCATTTTTATTTAACAACAAAATTACTTCTCTTTTTTATTTTGGATATTCAATTTTCTTTAAATTCACATTATCAAATAACTCACACTTGAATTTTACAGTGAACACAAGAAATTTTAAGCATAAGAGAAACATATTTCTTTCATTTACTATGAATCAAGTAATTATTATTAAATGTTATAATTATAAATTTATATTAATAAAATTCATATGCATTTTCCTGAGTGGTATTTCCCAACAGGTATATTTCTGTAGTTGCTTTGACAGTTTGATCAGAATGCACTAACTTCTGTAATAACTTCAAAATTCTAGGAGCTTACCACAGGGAAGCTTGTTTTTCTTGGATATCACCATGCACTCACGGTCAGTTCTCTTTTTTTTTTCTAATGAGGGTGCCTTCTTCTCGATCCTAGCCATGTTAATCAGGGATTTCTCTAATATATTTCTGTATAGTAGATATATATCTGCTTTGTCTCTGTGTGAACAGGTTTCTATGAATGCCTCTGTGAATGTGTATAGATTATATACATGTATGTGTATATATATATTTCCTGTTGGCATATAGGAAGAAACTTATCATTAGACATTGAATCATGTAATTATGGCAACTGAGAGTTCCTATCTGCTGTGGAGACTCAGGAGTGCTGTTGGTGTGAATCACAGGCTAGGCTTCATAGTAGTAATCTGAGAAATATATAAGACAATAAATAAGGACCACTTATACATGAAAATCATTTAAAAATCCTTTATATAATAAGCAAAACATAAAACATCTGGGGCTGGGCCAAAGGAACACTGAAGTCAGAAGTCATGGTATAGCCTCATCATTGAGCACCTGATGTGTTTCTAAGTGAAGGCATTTGATTTATGTCAGTCTCCTGGTATCTCTGTTCCTCTAGTTAATTCCCTTCTGAAATATAGTGTATAGCACAGCTCCACTCTGTTATTCAGTTTTCTACTACTGTAACAAATACTTGAAGTAATCAACTTATAAAGACAAAAGGTTTATTGTGGTTCAATTCTGGAAGTTCTACTCTGTGACCAGTTGGCCCACTGGCACAGGCTGCTGGCAGCATATCATGGGCCAGGGTGTGGGGTGACACATAGCAGAACAAAGCTGCTCACCTCATGGCTAGATAGAGAAGAAGAAGGGCGTGAGATCCTGCTGTCCCCTTCAGGGGATTCTGCCCGGTGACTGGAGATCTTTCACTAGATCCCAACTCCTGAGGGCTTCACCACCTTCTAGTAGCACCAAGCTGGTGGCCTTTGAGGGATAAAAGAATCGAACTCTAGCTCACCAATAGGGTCACCATAGACAGCTGAGTTACTGCACCCAAAGTGCTGCTCCCACAGTGAACACTCAGACCTCAGTCATTACTATTGGAAGAGAGAAGGTGGCAGAAAGCAGATGCTAAAGGGCCTGCACGTCTGCCATTTGCTTGACCACTGTAGAGGGTACTCATTCATATGCCCTGCCCAAGCTATCTTGGGTCATCTCATACCATGAAAATATTACTCATTCAGGTGCAGTAACTCAGCTGCCCATGATGACCCTGTTGGGTGAACTAGAGTTCAAAAATATTATTCCCTGAAAATAAGACCAGCTCTTATGTTAAATTTTGCTCCAAAAGATGGTCCAGGACTTATTTTTCAGGGTAATCTTATTTTTTCATATACAAAAATCCACATTTGTTCAAATACAGTCTTGTCACCTTTTTCTAGAACACTGTTATAGTTCTCCAAACCCCACATTGTGGGCTGAATGTCTTGAAATTCCATTTCTATGGAAATATTGGCCCCAGCCTCTCATGTCCAGCAGTAGAGCTCTCTTAAAATGTGCACATCTCATCCACATAGCCTGCTCACAGGGCATAGGAAACACAGCTGTCAGTGACTTTATCCCATGAATTTTTCACCCAAGTTACAATCCCTTGGAGGCTGGGCTTCACAGAGTTTCCATTAAATCAAGTATTAATTGAAGACTTAGGAGACAGTTGTGGCCAAAACATGATGGCAGTTAGGAACCATGATGGTTCACACAGAAGCAACAAAAGATTGCAGGCCCCAAAATTCAGAGAATGTTTACTTCACATGAGTGAATTAAGTATGTGTATTACAACACACAATGTATTGAATTTTTAAGGTTCATATTATATATAACCATGTCTGGTTGTTATTGCATCCACCCATTGTTCATTACTTAAAACAGTCCAATACAGCAGATCTTCAGTAAGTGAGGAGTGAAACAGAAAGCAGTTGAAAATCACCATGAGTCTTGGTTCGGAGCTGGCAGATTTCACTTTAGGTTTACTCCAGATTGAAGCTAGTGAAAATGCAGTACGATCACCATGGCAGTTTTACAATATGGCTGCAAAATCTTTTCATGGCTGTGATTTGAATTCCATGTTGTAATTAAAGGTTTTTAACATGAGAAAAAAAGTGGTACACAAATACAGGTTGTATTACGGCCACCAAGGCTGCATGCTGCATGACAAAACAAATGTATAAAGTAACTGTAGCATTACTGAACCAGGTACTTGAAATTGAATTCAGGCTGAATATGAATAAAGAGAACTGATTGCAGGCTTATGCAAAGTAAATTATGTCTTAGAATATCAAAAGGCCAACTATTCTGATTGTAAACTGCCTTATTTTCCTGGTAAATATTTTGAGAAGACTTTTTATAATAACTGTCATTACACTAAAAAGATTGCAAAAAAAATAGAATAGTTAAAAAGATTTGTAATGAAATTCCCCATAAAATACGCAGAGTAAATCTTACTACGTAAAAATTTTAAAAACCACGTAACACCCTGAATAAAGGTTGACTTCACTGAAGAAAAATGCTGCTTTTGTGCATAAATCATTGGTGCAAACTGATAAGGCTTTACTGGGGCAACAGAGAAGATGACCTATCAGAGTCATCTGTTTAAAATTTGTTCAGAAGCATTCATAAGGTTGTAAATTGCTGCTTATAGCATTAATAACCTTTCTATTATTTAAGTGGAGGACCAAAGAATAATGGGAAGAAAATGTTTCTCAAAATAAGGCCAAAGGCCCAAAGCAATTCTAATGTGGGCTCAGTAGGACACATTTTAAACAAATGCCTTGTGTGAGTATTTTACATTCTGAATGCCCAATGGCAAAGAGAGCTCTTAAAATATTTCTGACATGTCAGAGTTCTCTGCAAGTTCATGTTGTGTACACTGATTTTTGTTTTTAAGCAAGATCCGAGTATTACCAGAAACGCAGATTCCTTGCAAATGAACATGTCAAACCTTAGAAACACTTTCTTTTGATGTTTTCCTTACTTTTCAAATTTAGCTATTTGATGGAAAGATAAAATATGACTCCAAGCTTGGGAAAAGTTATATTTCTAATGAAACGGGACATCCAAATGAAGATAGAAAGATATGTTAGTAAATGCCTACACAGGTTGTGATCCTAAATTTAGAACTAGATAGCTTAGCTAGAATTAAACTTCAGTAAGATTGTGCCATTGTAACTTATTTAGACAATAGTAGTTACTTTTCAAGTCCTTTGCACAGAAATGGCACTGAAACAGATCAGTGCTGTATCTGGCAGCTGTGTAAATAACGAATTGCTAACTACGAATTTTAATAAAACTAGTTTGAAGTAGTACAGTTCATTTCAGGGGCAGAGTTCTTCAAATTATTTTTACTACAATTTGTAGTTAGCAATTTGTCATTTCAAGAGTTGCCAGATACAGCATTGCTCTGTTTCAGTGCCATCTCTGTGCAAAGGACTTGAAAAGTAACCATCATAGTCTAAATAAGTTACAATGGCACACGCTTGATAATGTTTAATTCTAGGCAAGCTATCCAGTTTTAAATTTAGGATGACTTAAAATGTGTAGGCATTTACTAAGTTATCTTTCTCTCTTTATTTGGATGCCCCATTTCATTAGAAATGTAACTTTTCCCAAGCTTGGAGTCATATTTTATCATTCCATCAAATAGCTAAATTTGAAAGTAAGGAAAACATCAAAAGAAAATGTTTCTAAGGATTGACATGTTCATTTGCAAGGAATCTGTGTTTCTGGTAGTACTCGGATCTTGCTTAAAAACAAAAATCAGTGTACACAACATGAACTTGCAGAGAACACTGACATGTCAGAAATATGTTTCTGATCCTGCTTTTAAGAGCTGCTCTTTGCCACTGGGCATTCAGAATGTAAAATACTCACACAGGGCATTTGTTTAAAATGTTTCCTATTGAGTCCACATTAGAACTCCTTTGGGATTTTAGCCTTATTTGGAGAAATACTTTCTTTGCATTATTGTTTTGATGTCCACTAAATATTAGAAAGTATATTTATGGTGTAATACTTTAAGATGGTTAAAGTTTGACCTAGGAGACAGAGCTACAATGTATGTGGTTTCTGCAGAGTTGTTCAAAGTTGTTACTATTGTTTTTGGATTTCCCTGAATATTACAAAATCAGGGGCCTGAATATATAGGTCATATAGTTTGGGAGCAAAACAAGCATAATGAGATATTATTTTCCAGTATAGTAAATAAAAAAATCAGGAATATGTCTCCAAGCAACAAATGGAATGTGTTTACAAATTTGGTAAAAAGAAATTGCCTCATCGTTAAGTATTATCATAAAAAGTAACTTTGTCAACCAAAAACCAAAATCAAGCAGGGCATCTTCATATAGAAAAAGGAAATTAAAATGATCTTCCAGGCAATTATAAAAGTGTCAGTTGAATGCAAGCTGGTAACAAGTTTTGTCATGCATTAGATATACAAACAGATGCTTAACTGGAAGGTGACAATCACCTCATTCTTCTTATGTGAAAAGGGGATTGATGTACTCAAAGCCCAAATTCATCTATGCTGTTCACAAAGTAACTGTCATCAGGTGTGAGCTGGACAGGTTCGTTGGTAAATTCAGGGTCAAAGATTTCTATCCCGAATTCTGTACCAATACTTGGCTTAAAGGGAGGAGGCACTTGCTTTTTTTTCCATCATGCTCCAGTCCAGATTGTTAAAGAATGGATGCTCTTTAATATCGATGAATCCTCTCTGAGGGTGACAGCCCAATCTTACCTCTGGCTCCTTCTTCAGAAGACCCTTGAGGATGCTTCTGGCTTCGACAGACAGGTGATGTGGAATGTGGACTTCTCTTTCTAACATAGATTGCAAGACCTTGTATGTGTTTAGATCAGAGTTCTTGGGACTGTCTGCAAAAGGATACGGAGGCTCTCCCACCATCATTTCGAACATGACTGTTCCAAGATTCCACCAGTCCACACTGAAACCATAGCTTTCGCCTCTGATGATTTCTGGAGCCAGATAACTGAGTGTGCCACAGAAAGTGTTGGTCTTCTCGCCTGCCTTCAGTCCTGCCTTACATAGGTCGTAATCGGTAATTTTAATGTGTCCGTCCGCATCTAGTAACAAGTTCTCCAACTTCAGATCCCTGTGTAATATCTCATGTTCATGAAGAAACTGGATAGCTAAGGAGATCTCCCCGGAGTAGAATCTCACATGTGCTCCGGGAAAGATTCCAAACTGTTGCAGATGGTATGTTAGGTCTCCTCCACTGATGTAATCCAGGATAAAGAAAAATCTGGTTGGTGTCTCAATGCAGGAATGCAGGCAAACCAGGTAAGGGTGGTTCAACCTCTTCTCCAATATTTGCTTCTCTACCTGGAGACGAATATAGGTTTTCATCGTCCTTTCTCACCTTAGTTTCCGTCTTGCTGTATGCAGCTGCCATGAACTGTGGCCCTGCCATTCCACCCTGTCTTGGAGCCAACTGAGTACGGACAGAAACCTCCAAAAACTGTAAGAAATAAACCTTCCCTTTCCCAACTTTGGGCATCAGGTATTTTGTCTCAGCAAAGAGTTAAAAATAACTTAGACAAGAACAAAATATTAATGTCTTTGTTTCAGGGCCCACACACTTACATAAAAGATATTATTGTTCATTTGTCTATCTTCTTTGTAACACTGTACTCTGTTGCCATGAATGACACTGATTTCCTGAGGGCAGAATATTTGTCCTTCTCTCATTAAACAATGCTTGGCTATTTCCCTTGCTCTAGCCACTGGAATGTAAGCAGATGACAGATGCCTCCTGTTCACGGCTCTTTTACAATGGCCCCCGGGATGATCCAATTCTCCCAGAGGCCCTGCCTGCTTGTAGCTCCCAAGGATGACTGTGAAATGTTCTAGGAAGGCAACATCCTGCCATTAAAGATGGATCCTCGAGAGGAGCCAGAGCTCTGCTCTTTTCCCCTATGAGTAGGAGGCCCTTTAACACATCAGTCCAGGATGCGGTGTTGTTCCTGAGGTTTACATGTGACTGATGTCCAGGGTCTTTAGTGGTGACAAGTGGGGCAGATGCAGTGCAGATTCCATCTTTCCTGAGTCTTGGAGGACAAAAATCAAGTGGACCCTAGGCTTTGCCTTGTCTTACTGCCAACCTATAAGTGATAAACCTACTTCCAGTAACTTGTCATGTGTAACTATGTTTGTGTCACTGATCTCAGAGAAGTTGGTAACCAATACATGGTGACTTGCTTCACGGTCAGGGCTAAGACTGTGATTTAAGAGTCATGATGTGCTTTACCAGCCCTTTCTCTTTCTGCTTAAACAACGGTTTGTAGGGCACTCTACACCCTACAATCAATTATGATTATCATATTTCACAATGATACGTAGAGCTCTCTACTACAATGTCATGAACAGGCCTATATAATCTAATACATTTCATAGCTGTGCACTGTAAAGTAACCTTCTGTTATCCATGGGATAAATTAAAATTGTGGATAGAAGTCTATATATCCAATCCTTTTTTCTATAGATGCACACCTGTGATAAAGTTTAATCTATAACTAAAGCATATTTTATGGGAAATTAACAACAAATAATAAAATAAGCTAACTATGATAATATTTTGGTCAAAATGTTATATTAATAAAGTTTCAGTTTAGTGTTTGAATATTACATTTAATATTATGGACCTAAGAAAGTGAAGCTGTAGATAGGAGTGACTGCTCTGTACAAGATTTGTCTCTCCAGTTTAATCACAAACAGAATCATTATAATGGTCACTTATTTAGCACCTACACTTATGTAGGCAAATTAATAAAGAAATAAAATATAAAGATATTTTAAATTTTTCATAAAAACTGCCAAAAGACAGACAGAGGCTGTCCCTATAACTTGTGTCTCAGAATACACTCTATGATTAGAGGCACAGACTTCACTGTTTGAAATGAAAAACAAAGGAAAGAGAAAGGTTTGTGGTTGTAGGATAAGCATTTTAAATGAGAAGAACTTGTTTAATTAAAATTTTCTTTCTTTCAGGAGTGAAAATGAATAAAAAAACGTTCTGTAAAGCAATAAGTTGATGTTGTCTGGTTGTGGAGTGTAATTCAGAAAATTGACTGTTACTCTTTTAACTCTTATTTAATAATGTCTCTTCAAAATCCAACCCAAACACACACACACACACACACACACACACACACACACACACACACATATATATATATGTGTGTGTGTTTTGATATATATATAATAATCATATATATATATATGTTTTGACATATATAATATAAATCTATATCTCCAAATTTCCTCATTAAATTTACAATTTTTGCAACAAGCTTTGATCAACTGGATACCCTCTAGCTATTTCACTGAGAGTGACTGATTTAAATGTGAAACAATCCTATTAGTTTGATATAATTAATTTCTGGAAGCATTAATTGAGAGTTTTTCTCCTGGCTGAAATTGTTTGTTATACTCTAACACAATGAAAATTCGTTGTCTTCATGACTCTTTGGATTAACCATTGTTAGTTAGATATATCTAACTGAATTTTCTGTTTGTCCCTGTCATGTCAGGTGCAAATTTTCTAGTAGGTGCATCATCAAATCATATGGCTTAGACTCATTTTCCAAGTAGCGCTTCCTTCTCCAGTGAGCTACCTCAGGCTTTTCCACATGGTGGTCTCAGGGTTCCATGACGGGAAGAAAACTATGTCCCAATGTGTAATAGTTTTTCAATCTTTTATATAAATTGTACTTATTAGTGTTATATTAGCTACAACAAATAACATAATAAGCCACTTTCTAATGGAAAGAGGTACAATATCATACTGTAACTTGGTCTGCTTTCTGAGACCAGAAGAATACGGAGTTTTATCTATATACTACCAATCTATTGTGCAGTCTATTGCATTTTTCAGATGCATTTGTTTTCTATACTTCACTTTATGGGACAATATTATCTTGGTATTATCTCTTTGACACAATAGACTATATTTAATTACTTTATATAGCACAAGCTTGACATTTTATAAGAATTCCGTTACTGCTGCAGAATTAATGGTGAGTTAAATGAAATGATTTTTAACCAATTTGTAATATGAACATGAATTTGGAAATATTAAAAGAAGAATTCATCATATATTAATTTTATTTGTATTCTAAATATTATATATGATTTTTAAGATTTTTGTATTATGGTTTTGTCTTCCAATTATCTTTATTAGATTCTCATAAATGGTTTGTCTTAGCTCTGCTTAAGGCAGTCCTCTGCTGTTCTGATTTTCAAAAGAGTCAATATTTTTGTTAAATGACTAAAGCAGTATTTAGATTTTTCTTACTTTAAAATCTTAAATAATTAGAAATAAAAACATTGCTTATATCATTCGACATTTGTTGAATTCCTACCACAAGACAAGTAGATCATTTGATTATTCTCAAAGTCAATTTTCCTGAAGCTCTTAGCATTTTCCTCTTGCCCAAGTATAATGTAGGCAGTTTGTCTTCCTGTTAACAATGAAATACTTTAGATTTTATCATGTTTAATACCAGCATCATCAAAAGTTTTATGTCTTTACTTTAATTTCTGGATGTCTGTAAATTTAAATAATGAAGATTTAATAAATAAACCACAAGAAGTAAAATGTATAAACAAGCACAAATAAGATATGTTTAAATTACGTTATATTGATTAATTAAAATTTATTTATGAAGAAATTTATCATATGAGCTTTAAACTGAGGTGCATAAAATTTTTACTAATTTGATAAAAATATTTATTTAAACTGAACTGTGAAAGACTAAATCAAATAAACCACTTTGTATGGTGGCTTACACCTTTATTTCATGTTTCCTTGTGTTCTCCACATGATCTGCGTTAAAATGCTTGGTGAGGAACTAGGTATGTTGTCTGCCTATAATCCTAGAACTTTGAGAAACAAACAGGAAAATCTGGAGCAGTCAGAAAAATTTCAATTTGAGCCTGGCCTGATCCACTGTTTGGAACCTGTTTCGAAATTTAAAAACAGCTGGGGTTATAGCTTAGTGCAAATTCCTTGGCTTCAATACCCAGTATGAGTGGGGTGGAATCCTTTGGAAGGAAAATCCTTGTGAATTCTGGTCAGTTCTTTGTTGTTATGAAAGAAAAGAGCATCTTTTCCCTTTTTCACTAATGTGGTAGGCTATTGATGGTGAACGTTTTAGAGCTTTCAGTAACATGGCACACGTGTTCTAGACATTTGTATATTGGAGAACAAATGACAAAGAAAAACCACATTTCAAGTTAAGAGGAAAATACAGAAAATTAATAAAATTTACTTTTGTGCATTTTTCCTTTATTTGTTTTCTAAAGCAAATTCACTTCATATGACTTGATAATAGCATCTGAATTAACCAATGTCTCTAATCAATTTTGGAAAACAATAGAATATTTGCCTTTTGTTTAGTTTGCTTTGTTTCTAATTTTTGCTTCCTAGAATTATCAGCATCCTCTCCCCAAGAAAGGAAATGATTCATTAATTAGCATAAATTGTGATTTTCCTCCAAATAAACAAACTTCCATTATGACATCAAAGCCAAGCATCTACCAATAATATAAACTAAACAAAGACAGCCATTGTGGATAAAAAGTTACAGATAAGTGTATAACACTTGTTACAAGTCACAATAAGATTGTAGAGCAGAAAGTATATTTTTATCATACCAATGCAGTTACAACAGCAATAGCAAAGCCATTATATTATTGAAGTGATAAACAATCTGTAGAGGAGAATAGGTAAGGAGTGGTTAACCTTTTCCAAAGGCAACCATAAGTCTTGTCGACTCACCCCGTGGTGTTTATCAACAGCAGGAAGCTTCTTGAGAAATGGTTAGTCTCTGCTTTGAGGCTCTCACCCATACAAAATAGCACTTGAGATTATGTATTTCTGTTCTGAAGCTTATTGTCTTTTGTATTTTCCTCATACAATTTGATTTTTTATCTGTATCATACAATTTTTTTCATTAAAACATCTAGAAAATTACTACTGAAGAGTTTGTCTTGCCACATTTGAAGTGTTTATGATGTGTTGGTCACTGGCCACTTCACTGTGATGGACATTAGTACTAACTTCATACCTGGCAGTCGCCATCATGCTCTTTTTACTTCTTTTTCATTCTCAAGAATTGTTACCAGGGTCATGGAGTAACAAATGCTATTAATTTGACCTCTGCAGAATTTTCCCTCACAACTCCTGCGTTACCTGTGATAAATTCATTCAGGCCCTGTGAGGAGAGTTTTCTCAATCTCCCACACAATCTCAGTGACACATCTCATTATGTTATAATATAAGTAATACATTCCTCGTTGTTATAATTACACACACATATACATACATATATATATATATATATATA